TGAATGTATTTATTTTCTTTTTTTTTCCTTCTTCTTCTTCCCTTGGAAGGGGTATTTAAGAAGTATTATGGTTTTTATGACCCATGAAACCATCAGCATTCTGTAAACACAGCGAGGTGTCAGCTTTATTAAATCCTTTTTATTTAAAACCCTTAAAATCGTAAGTGCAATACCTCAGAGATAAGACGAGTAGAGAGAGCATTATAAGGAACAAGTACAAGTGGTTGAGCTTGCTGCACTGTATGGGAGGACTACACCCTTCCTGACCTGGGGAAGAACTTCACAGAGTGGCCCCAGGAGCTGCACCAGATGTTGCAGGTTGGCATTAACACCGTGGATGGACTGTGGGCCATTAACTGTCCCATCATTTCCCTTATTGTCTGGGCGTTACAGGTCTCTTGCACACCTCCAGTCCCGACTGGGAGGGCACAGGGCTAGCTGAGACATCCTTGTGGGACTGTAATGGGCTGTAGAAACTGAAATGGTACAGCATGTATTTAGGACGCAGACTGCCCTGCTACCCCACTATCCGTACTAGCTTTTCCTGCTGTGTAAACACCCCAGTTAACTCTGGAGGGGTGGCTGGGCATAAATCATTGTGAAGGCAGCATGGGTGACAGTGATTTGGATGCTTGTATCAAAACTCTGCTAGCTCTGGCTAGCTACGCAGTATGCATCAGTTGGCAAGAGTACTGGATGTAGTTTCTGCAGTTCATATCTGGGTTTATGTCAAGCAAGCAGATACAATCTAACTTCACAAGGATGAAGTACTGAGAAAGGTGCATTGAGTTCAAATCCATTCATCCTTGCAAACCAGGGGGAGAGTGCAAAACAGTAGCATGTCTCCGGAGGGCAACGTCTAATTTGTGGGAATCCGTCCTGTCCCCAGAAGAGTTCCTGGAAGAATGTAACTGAGGGCTTAAAACCTCTTTATCCGTTAGCTTCTCCTCAAAGCCCTTCTCCATGTAGGCATAACTTAAGCCAGTAAAGAGCCTTGTTGAAACTGCTGCTTCTTTCTTTTTCTTTTTTAAGAGGCCAACTCTTGTGCTTTTCTTTCATTCTGTAGAGTACACAGCTGACATTATTACCCACATGCTTAGCAGTGCCAGCGCGGTAATGGATGACGCTAGTACTTAAATGCACTAGGAAGACAGGAGTGGGCTGAAGCCATTTTTAGAACAACATGCTATTTTCTTTTTTATCGCTGACTCATTCACTGTACCTTGTGGTATGTTTACCTTGATTGCTTGCTGCTTTGCAGGCTGTTGAATGGCCGAGGGAGGAATATTAATCAGTGACACATAGTACTGTGCTCCAGAACTTCAGTGATGGTGAGTGCTATGCTCTTGCTGTCTTTTGGCTTTATTGTAAGAACTACTTTTATTTAACTAGCATTCCAAGGTATTTCAGTCCCGGAAACCATCAGTGACACTTTTGTATTCATTATTTTAGCACAGCTATTTAGTTCATGTCCATTTTTTTCTGTTGAAAATCTTTGCTCCTCACTAGTACTCAGAGTAAAATTAAACAAAGTCATTGCACTATATATGTGTTGAACCTAATTAGCCAGAACAGCTGATGAGGACAGAAGAGATCTCACAACTCATTTATCTTTTTCTTAACATATTTTATATTTAAATTAAAATGACACATATAGCAGTAGCAGTCGCTACAGCTACAGCTGTTCAAAAGTGCACTTTACTGCATGTGGGATCTACTTGGGCTATTCTGCCTGCAGAGTGAGATGACATAAGTGTTTTGTGTCCTGAAATGCATTTGTAGCTCAAGTTGTCTGCATTCAAAACAGAAATTAAAGGCAGGTACATAGAAACTGTCGCTAATCATTCACAAGAATCTGTTAAATGCTATGAGTGTTAGTAAAATGGGACTTTGTATACTAAAACTCTCCAGTGGAAAACAGAAGTAGCATTATTTTACACAGGTGTTGAAAAAAAAGGCATCAAGGAGACAAGCAGATAGAAATCTGAGCTGGGTACAGTGAATCCTCACACAACTAGGCAGTAGAGTAAAAGCCATATATATATTCTAAATTTAAAATATTAAAATATAAACACAGAAAAATAATTTTAATATTTCTGGGGTATATTTATGCATTCACATATAAGATCACTGAAGGACTATAATTTCACAGCTTTGCTTTAAAAAGAATTTAAAAATATGTAGCTGACACCACTCAGGAGAAACATCTTTTAATATCATGTGTTGTAATGCTACAAACACAGAGATCCTGTGAAGAGCCTGGGGTTTTTCACTTATCTGTTCACTTGGGCACCTCAGGGAAATCTGCTGCTGCATAATCAGCTCCACAATCCCCTGAATTCTCATTTCCAGATATTCTGGAGCAAGGCAGTAAACTCTCCTGGCTAGGGATCCTGACATATTTCTCTACATTTCTCAGTTTCTGAACCGAACTATTATGTTTATCCAATCATTACTTAGTGATGCTTCTTACACCGCTGTAAGAAAAGTTAAATATGCTTCCTCAGTTTTGCAGATAGAGTAATTGAAGTGTGCAGTGACTAACAAACTACATTTCCTGGGTCACAGAGAAAGTTCATGGCAGAGCTAATAATGGGACCTGTATTGCTGGTCTTAATGATTACAGTGTGACAGCACAGCATCTCTCAGGTTTCAAAACTAAGCATTTAGTTATGACATTGACTGAATGGGGTCCCTTCAATATGCTTGCTGACCTTGGGCTAGTGAATAAGTCAGCCACTCCATCTGAAGAATATCTATGCTCTGAACAGCATATTCAGATTCTACAGAACATATATTTTATTTTAATATTTTTTAATGAGAACATTCCTGATGTAGAATTCCTGGTATTATTACTTTGGACACAACTATAGATTCTGTATTGAAGTAAAGGGGCACTCAAGTCTTAACGAACTTCCATTATAGGATTTCTGTGAATAGGGAATGGCTACTATCCCATTTTTAAAGGGGTTACTACCAAAGATCACAGAGAAAATCTCTCGTGCAGCAAAAATTTAAATTCACATTTCCTAGATTTTAAGCTGGAGGAACCTACCAGTGGATAAACCTTCCTAATTACTGATGAAAGTTCAAAAAATGTGCTCTCCTGCTCCCTAGGCTTGCCACTGGGCTTGATCTAAAGCTTAGTGAAAACTGAGTTAGTTTAGAGTTTCACATGCACTTGAGGACGCTGATATAACTTGGGAGTAAGGAGAACACCCATGAAAAGTAAAAACTGGTAGCTTCTGTAAAGAAAAATGAGATGTAAAGAGAGGGGAAGAAGAAACAATGAAATATGATGAGAAGGAAAGCACAAAACCCACCAGAGCTGTAGAAGAACCAGAGCTGTCTGTGCAGAAGTAGGAGTATGCCATGGTAAGGAAAAAGCCATCCATACCTAAAGTTCTCTGTAATGTCAGAGCTATACACATGGTTTTAGAACACAGACACAAGTGGAAGTCTCTGCACAGGATGCTCTTCCAGTTCTGGCTGGTTGAGTCAGATTAAAAAACTTCCAGGGAAGTGCAGGCTTTTTTACATACATGAGAACTGTACTTCAATATGATAAAATATCACAGCTGTCAGTCTAAATTGGAATCAATTTGCATGGCAATGCTATAAGGGTTGCAATTTCTTTATTTTTCTTTTTCTGCAATGAGGAACTTTCCCTGTTTCAGTAGGGAAGATTGATCCTGGGTGCCTGCATCTGCATTTGAAAAAATCTGCCTCTTCGAGTGTGACTATTGGTCCTGAGTGTGACTATTGGTCCCTTATTGCTCAGAGGGAAGAGAGCTCTGCACAGAAGTACAGTGGCTGCTAGTCTGTGCTGTTGGCTTCAGAGTCCACAGGAACTGAAAATCTCTAAATACATGTATCTGGAGCGGTGATTTGCCCATGTTAATGTGAGTCAGTTAAGTTCTGGAGAAAGGGAAGTTCCTTAAAAAGAAATAAAAGAGAAGGTACTCAGAACAATGTGGGGTTTGCAGCCTGTCCTTGGTAAAAATACCTAAGGGAATATTTTTATACTACTTTTTTTCCAGTGGCAAAGCCAGCTGAAGAAGTTGTCTTCCCAGCTACTCCCTCTACTCCCACTGCAGTTCTCTGTACACCCTGATGTGCTAATGACACTTGTCATGGGACTATGCTAGACTTAGGCCATTTAAATGATGTAAATGTCTGAAAAAATATTTTGGAAGTTAATTTTTAAACCTGTATCACTTTAATATCTCGATCATTGTGCAGTATCATAAATGGCTGCACTAACATGACTTTGGGGTGGCAGATGGCAGCAAGCAGCAGGTATAAAAGTTTACATGTAGGAGAAAAGAGGAGCTCCTTCATTGCTGCTAAAGAAAATAAGTGTACAGGACACTACCACAAGCAGTCTGAGTACCGGGCCTGAGATATTTCCCTCCATGAGGTACCCATGTAACTCTTAACAAGGATAGCTTCTAGTGTGGTCTCAAGAGGTCCAGTTCATTATTATTATGGGTGACCCAGACAGAAAAAGGATGTTTGTGAGTAACCATCATCATGATAAAGCAAATGAGTATACCAGTAAATCTATTCTCCTGTTACTTAAAACAACCTGGAGAAAATGAATAAAATAGCACAAAACAAGAAATTCACACAGCCGGTTTTTAAAATCACTCATTTACACATGTATTTGACACACTTTTTCTAGCCCCCAGACTACTGGAAAAAACTGCCCCTTCTTTAATCTGGTTTATGGATTTTATTGAGATGTTCAGAGTGAACTTCAAAGATGAAAACACATCCAGTGAACGTACACACCAGTTCTATTTAGTTTTTAATCTATGACCTATAAACTAAAACAAAAGCTAGAGTTTTCTCAGTTTTATGGAATATCTGCACTAGGTGAGCCGTACAGATATTCTTTAAGAGAGATCCACAGATTGCCCTTGTATTTTTTACAATGATTAATGGCATAAACTGTGGTGCTTTCTTCATTACAAATATTAAGAAAATCTTCCTCTTACCTGAAGGTAATGGCATGGCCTCAAGGAAGGTTTGATTTCCTGATGAACCAAAGGCTTATCTAAGTTCAGTGATGATTTGCGATATGCTTCTTTAGCCTGACTTACTGTAAGCGTGGACCAAGAACTCCTTTTCATGTATTTACCATCAGGGGTCATTGCTAGCCCTTCACAAGCTGAACATTTCACGTCATTGTTACTTTTGGAAGTCTTCAATGAGAGATCCCCAAAATGTCCCTGGAGTGCCTCAGGGTAGCAATGGGATATATGATCTGTATGGTGCCTATTTACCACACTGGGGGTTCGGTAAGTGCTATCGCTATCCAAATTATCATCAGAGCTCCACCAGCTGCTCATTCCAGATTTATGCTTGCTTTCTGGTTTCCGCTCCTTACTTTTACTCCTTTTGCTATGCTTGGAATGGTGCCCGTGATGATGGTCATCCCCTCGACTGTCTCCCTTTGTTCCATTAACGTTGCCCTTGGATGATCCTTCCAGAGAATGAGATTTAGTAAAAAGTTTCTGGACTGAATGAACAAGATGGCGTATTCTTCCTGGGCTCTCGCTGCGTTGTTCCGCAGCTGTTGAGGTCCTCTGGTACTGTAAAGTGTGAAACCCATCCCGATGAAGAGGAAGTTGTTTCTCAAATTGGTCCAAAAGATTTGCAGGAATACGGTTAATCTTAGGGTTACCGTGAGACATGGTGCAGTCGTCTCTTGAGTCGTAATGTGAGCTGTAGTGCATTCTGGGGAAAGTGCTACTTGACATGTGATCGCCCATTACCATGGGCATCATCATGCATTCAGAATGAATGGAGCTGCGTGGCGAGCAACGATGGTGGTCCATCGGGCAACTCTCTGTGGGGCTGAGAAGATACGATTGCCTTGGCTCCTGCCCATGGTGGATATGGTCGTGGGTGTGTTCGCAATCTTCAGGGGATGCTAAGCCACAAGTATGAGCTGAACATAACTGTGGTTGGTTGCGACTACCAGATAATCCTTTCATATTCCTCGAAGCAGGAGAGTATCTTTCTTCATTGAAGTGCGGAGAAGGCGACCATGAGTACTGCTGGTCTGTCAGGACAACACAGAAAACCTATGTTACGTGTCTGATTAAAAGATCTGTTTGCAAAATCCAAGTTTGTTGCAAAACTAAACATTTTTTCTCTACGAGCTTGATGGATAGTTTCACCATTAATGAAATTTAATTCACCATTTTAAAACTGGTTAAAATTGCTCACTACCAGCAAATTTTGGGGTGAATGCAGCCTCCTTCCTGTTTGCTAAATTGTCTGCTAGCAGTTCTAAATTTTATAAAGCTATTCATCATGCGAATTAACTCAAATAGATTTAATGGATACATTCAAGTATTCAGATTATTATTTGATATTTGGAATTCATATGTCAAGCTTTGTGGTTAGTCCTTTAAGTTACATGGGTCTAGTTTCTCTTTCTGTAGTTTCTCAGCTGGATATCTTGACCTAAATGTATCCTCACTCCATGGAGCCATTTTCGTACCACAAACTGATCTTCATTATCTTAAATGAATCTCAGCTTCAGGATCTCAAGTTCACTGTTCATAAACATAAATAATAAACAGCAAAGAGTAAAAGAATATGAACATGCTGAAACGAAGCTTAATTTTGATATCACTAAACAGTTTATGAATAAGCATTTCATACTATTTGAACACCTGTTATCTTTAGTCCAGACGTATTATTGCTATTCCCATACATGTAAAATCTTCTCTTTTAGGCAGTTTTCCCCTTTTTACATCCAAATTATAAAATATGTATTTAACAACACTTATGTTATTCCTCATAAAACAAATATATTGAGGTACAAGCTATGGGTTTTTATATACTTGATTATTTGTTCCTATGGATCATGTGCTCCAAGTTGTGGTTATTAAACAAGCATGATTACTAAATAAGAGTAGCTTGTAAGCAAAGATTTTGATACTCAAGCCTTTGATATTTTTCTGTCATGCAATTTCTTCCAGCTGTCAAATGCTACAAACAGAAAATTAAAAGACCCAGAAATGCTTCAATTTGATTTTCACATTCACTTCGCCTCTTCAGTTTCAGCTTATTTAAGCAACATTTCAAAAGCAGACAAAGATATAGGATGCAAGACGATCCTTTAGAGGATCAGACAGATGCATAAGTGTTTATACAACCCACTTAGCACAGTCTTTCTGCAAATTTCCTCTAAAGAATCTAAATAATCTCGCACAGGTGCCTGATATAAGGAAGTTGAAGGCCTCAACCAGAATGGAAGCCAGAGAATATGTACTCGTTATACATAACAACACAACTGAATGCTGGAGAGCAAGCTGTAGAGATAACACAGTAGCCAACAGCACTTTGAGGAGTTTCTAAGTGTATGACAGAACTCTCCTAAATCACATTGCTGCTGCTGGTGAAAACTCAGTGCCTGGATACGGTCATGAAACAGATCAATACCCCTATCTCCTTAATTTTATTCAACTAGTAAGTGTCATGTCATGACAGCTTCAGTACAGAACGCGATTTGTTGCAAATCTTTAGCACCAGCAATCTCATAACTTAAATGCGCTAAATTTCCTATAGTGGAAGATGCTTAGATAATTTTATTACATCCTAATTTCCACAGAGCTCCACATAATGTTTTAAAATGAATGTAGCATTAAACTCATAAACAATGAAGTATTCTTCATCCTGGGCACAATCCTAGGACGACACTAAAGTCAAAGATGGATTTAAGGGACCAAATGTCACCTCCAGACTTTATCATGGTGTGAAACTGATGTGTGTGTGCATATACCCTTTTCTTTCTGCTGTTTTTTATATCAGTTTCATTTACTTAATTCTTGGCTATTTTTATATTGAAATAAAAACTTATTACTGTTGATTACTCAGTCTGTTGTACTATTCAGGTTATAATACCCTGCATAAATGTAGTTACAAAAAGGAAATATAACTGTTTCTCTGAAATAACATAATTTTGATTATCCAATTAAAAGTACAGCTATATATAGACAAGGTAGTAAATCATAACAGTGCATTGGGATTCAGCCACGTAAGTAGCACTGTAATTAATGGTACGTAACCCAGTATATTACCAAACATTATCAGGGGAATAATAATGGTCTGTGCTTCCGATAAAGGGTTCCCAAAGCACCTAACAGAGATTACTGCGTTAGTTCTTACAGTCCCATGAGATGTGGAAGGCACTGTTCTCCTTTTACAGAAAAGGAAACCGGAATACAGGCAACATTTTCCAAAGTGCCCGTGGATTTGCTGATTTTCATTTTCACAGTGGTACAAGCCAGAGGGAGGTGGAAGGAGGCTCTTCTGTCAAACTGACAGCATGATGAGAGTCAACCCCGAGCCTTTTTGTCACAATCTTGCACATCTATGAATGAAGGTAACTCTTGCACTACATCTTTGAATAGCCAATGCATTTAAAAAAACCAAAAAACCAAACCAAAAACAAAGGGCATGACAGAGATCCAGAAGGAAAGAAAGACTTAGACAGGTATAAGAAACTCCTTTAAATGAGTTCCCTAGCACAGAACTGTTAGTCCCTGGTGACTTCTTTAGGCCTCGCACAGCATCAAACATAGCCCAGAAGGCTTCAAACATTTTCATCCTGTTACATCCCTAGGAATACGAGACATCCTGACTTGACTGCGCTGCAATAGATAATCTAACAAACAGCTTTTCCATCCCTCATGACTCCCTATGGTACTAGCTCAGTGTAACTATAGAAAAATACAATTTTTTGACCGTTGCTTTCACAGCCTTATAGTATTTTATGTGCCTCATGGAATATCTGATTTTTTTTTTTGTTTAAAACACAGTAGTTAGAAACTGCTGTAGGCATTTAATGAGCATAATCAAAATCATTAAAAACTGAATTAAGAAAGGGGCATGTTCCAAAAGTAATTTTCCCCTCTTAAATCTGCCATAGAGAGTAACTGGTACTAGATAAACTCTCAAATTACTTACATGTGCATCATCTAAATTTATCACTCCAATTAGGTTTGGGGTCTGACTGGGACATCAAACCTGTTCTATGTCCTAGGCACCATTACTTCTTACAAAACCTCTGAAAATCTTCAAAATTTTGCATTATAATTTATGAATTGATCAAATCATCTGTGCTTTGTCCGATTCAGTCAGCTTTCTTCAGATAGCCTGTTTCAGGGCTTGAAGAAACAGTTGAGCTATGGCTGAATGAATTACTGTACGGTACCAGACTAGTGTAATTGACCATGTGTTAGCTCTTAGCCTGCCAGAAACGCAAAGAAAAATGGGCTGGCTTAAAATTCAATTAAGCTAACACGGTTTTCGAGCATTTGCAATGGGCTAGAAGTGTGTCTATGGTCAATGTCCATAGCTCAGCTGATTCATAAAAATTTGTAAAGCTACAGTATTGCTTTTTTTTCTCAATCTTTTAAAAAAAAATTTCAGAGTTCAGTATAACAAAATAACGCCAGATTTATTGAAGAATGACAAACTGGACTGGAATTTTAGTCTATCTCTTGAGGATAAGGATATATAGAATAAAATATAACTTTTTTTTTTTTTTTTTTTTTTTTCAGCAGCTCCTATGTTTTTTTTTTTTTTCAGCAGCTCCTATGTTTTCTTAGGGTAATAATTCTAAAAATATAAAAGTTATTGAGGATACCAATGTCTAATCCCTTAAAGAAAGTGCCACCATCAGAACCAAATAACTGAAGGGAGAGAGAAGAACAAATAAACGTAACTCAAAGCAGACAGAAGAATAGGAACAGAGAAAAAATATATTACATGTGACCATAAGAATGGCTTTTTTTAATGTTTATTCAGAGCAAAATGGAATCTTTCCATTGACTTCAGTGGATAGTCAGATAATACACAAAGACGGGGTGGGGGGGAAGTGGGGGCAAATGACATAGACCAAGACATAGGCTGTTATCATAGAATTATAGAATCATAGAATGGCCTGGGTTGGAAGGGACCTTAAAGATCATCAAGTTCCAACCCCCCTGCCATGGGCAGGGACACCTCCCACTAGCCCAGGCTGCTCAAAGCCTCATCCAGCCTGGCCTTGAACACCTCCAGGGATGGGGCATCCACAGCTTCTCTGGGCAGCCTGTTCCAGTGCCTCACCACCCTCGTAGTGAAAAATTTCTTTCTAATGTCTAGTCTAAATTTACCCTCTTTTAGCTTATAAAATATATATATTTAGCTTTTAGCTTATGTCAGAGAGAATCCAGTAATTCCAAAATCCTTAAAGCTCTTATTTTCAGAGACTACCATACAGATACAAGTTAACCTTTAACCTTGACAAACAGAAGGATTTCTGCATCCTTTTCTGTCTATTTCAACTCCTTCCCTGTTACGCCATGTCCTGTCCTGCTTTTTTCCCCTGTTTTTTTCTCTGGACTTTCTGATGTTAAAAGAGTTCCTCTCTTATTGCAAGCAGATGTTAATTTGCCTGTCTTCAGGGGCTGGTCACAATTTTTAGAGCATTCAAGCTGCTTCTTTGTGCCAGTCAGTATCAAGGGATAAAAGAGAGGTTCAAGGACCAAGAACATTGTTTGAAATAATGAATTAGAATTAGCATTAATGTTCTAGGGCAGAACGGCTAAAACCCTCTAAGCAACGAAAAATAAGGGCTGTGCATCTCTAGAGTTCCTGGAACACTGCTCTTTGCTAAAGAGAATCAATGTGAAAACACTGGAAACCTCTCTGACATTCAAAGGAAGTGTTTGTCTCCACAAATCTTTTTGTACAAATCTTCTTGTGTGTTACATATTGAAAGCAAGCTTTTGGAGCGTAATAATAATCCCTGGAACTACTAAATAGTGCCTGATTTTTGCTTTTATTTATTTATGTATTTATTTATTTATTTA